AGCTCAGCGGCAAAGCGCCTGCCTGGCAAGCGCAAGGTCATGAGTTCGGTTCCTGGTACCGGAGAAAAACCAAAAAAAAAAAAAAAAAGTGGGCCTTCTGGCGTGGCTCTGGGCCACTGTGGACAGGGACAGTTTGATCACCGTGCCTGATCCTGGAACCCTGCTTTGAGAGATGAGGTGCGCACAGGTCCTGTGTAGATCCCGGGGAATCGCAGTGGAAGAGGAGAGTGAGGGCTCTGAGCTGGGTGATGGTAGGATTAATAAGGTCCTACTAAGGCTGCTTGTTTAGAATGCACTGAGCACTGGCTTATGCCAGCTGAACTCATTTAAACCTCATCCCGGCAATGCTGAGGTGGATGCTGGTGTCATTATCCCCATAACAGATGGGGAAACTGAGTCAGGAAAGCTGAAGTAACCTAGTTACTTAACTAAATTAAGTAGCCAGTTAGTGGCAAGGGTAAACTACTCCCAGAGCAATCTCAGAGCTAGTGTGTGGCGAGGTGGCAGCTACTGGGCTATTGGCATGAGGAGAGTGTCCTCCACGGGCACCCTGCTGAGGACAAGAGGGGCTGCGTGTGACTGTGCAAGCCACTACCTCCCCTCTGGTAGCAAGGGAGTCCAGCAAGGCCAGCCAGGGTAGAGCGGTGACATGATCAGGGAAGTTGTGAATAAATTATGACACCGAATACATTATATAAGGATTCTTTTAAAGAAAGAGCAAATGAAGGGTTGAGGGTTGGTCAGAGTTTAATGAAACTAAGCTAATCTTTCTCCTACCTGCCCCCAGGGCCTTCCTTTAAGACTGTCCCTGCTGAAACACTTCCCAAGGCTACAGGGAGCTAGCAGACATCCGGAGAACTCTCACCATCAGGTAGCCTTGGCCTTCAGCCCTCACCTGGGGGGATGCAGGGTCCAACAGTCTCAGGAATCATCCCAGCCTAACTGCAAACCGAGAAGGAAGCAAGGGCCGAGAGTATCAATGTTCTTTTCAAAAATAACTCTACATAACTTGCAAAGTCCTGGGGAGGTCTGTGGATACTGCATCACAGAGGGAAGAAAGGACTCCAGTGCAAACAGAGGGGGTCTGTTTGATTTCCTCGGATTCTGCGCATTGAAAACAAAGAAAACGACTGAACTTGTTTATGTTCTGGTGAAACAGCACAGTTCAGAGTACCGAGGAGCTGGGTTTGGAAGGGAAGCCTTTGAGAGATAAACGCTAAATTCTGTTCCAGTCATCAACATAAGAAAGCACTGTGTCCCAAGGCCCGCCAGTCTAGAAAAAGTCTTTTCTTCTCCAAATCCCTCAAATGAGTTTTAAATGTGCAAATGATGGCTATAATTTATGCAAGAATTGGAAACTCTTAACAGCTTAACCCACCTAAAATCCTGACGATGGTCCTCCACGTTATTCCCGCGTGTGTAGCTCAGCGCACAGAGAACAGGACTTGGCACCTGCAGCCTTGGCAGCTGGCTGTGTAAGGAACGAGACTGCAGGTCTAATCTTCGTGCAGAACGCCACATTATCATCTGGATTCAAGAAATCTGGACGTCCAGAGCCAAAAAGGCTTTAGAAGACAACCAGATCTGGTTGAGTTGTTTCTCCTTTGTAGTGACTTCCCTACAAGGGCACAGCCAAGGTGGGATTTCAAACTTTCCCCTGCGGAGGCTTGCGTTCTAATACTCTCCTCAGCGCAGAAATAGACAGGTGGAAGGAGGTGGGCTCTGGTCACTCTGACCCTAACACAGATTCGGCCTTTGCTGAGAAGGGGGACAAGGACCGCCTCCCGAACAGGTTCCGGTTGCCTGTAGGATGATGTATTTCTCCTTCAGGAATAGCATCTCCCCAGCCTCTCCCGTCCACCTCACACATCATTATGCACATTTACATCCATGAACCTGTCAGTTTGGGATCTTTATTTTTTTTAAAATGCACGCACTTGGTTTAACACAAGCGGACGATGTGTACACGGAGAGCATTCCTGGAGCTCGAACTGGGGGCGGCCAAGCTCTTCTCCTGTGGACCCTTAAGCAGCGAAACGGAATGGACAACACCTACCACCACCACTACCACCGAAATATTTCTGCCTGGATCCCAGGTTTCAGGCAGTATTTGCTTTATCTGCTCTACTGAATCTTGGCTGCCTCGTTTCAATAGATAATTAAAATCGTTCCTACTTTCTCAGTGCCCCTTGGGGAAATTCCACTCGGAAATTCTCTTTTCCCTGTCATTTTTACTTCACCGCGGAGAGGAGAGGGATGAGCTGGGGGAAAAGGAGCTCCCTCTCCCCTTCACTCTTCGGCAAATGACGTAGGGAGTTTGGACAGCCTCCCTGCCCCCACCGCCCCCTCTCTGATGCTAACCCCTTTCCTGGAGAATGTTTTCCTTCTAATCCCCGATTACCGCGCCGGGGCCGGGGGGCGGCGGGGGCTGCACGCGGAGGAACTTCGGAGCCGATGCCAACCCCACCAGGCCGGTCACAAAGCCAGGCAGGGCGGGAGCGCGGTGGCAGCAGCCAGAGGCTCCCAGCGCCCCGCCGTGCGCCCCGCCGTGCGCCCGCGGCCCGAGCTCGCCGGGACAACTCACTGTGCTCGCTCGCCGGTGTCCACACTGCAAACTCTCAGTGGGAGGGGTGACAGCGCCAAGGCTGGGTCGCGTCGAGTGGCGGAGCCCACAAAAGCGCAAAGAGCGCAGAAGCGGGAGGCCGAGAGGGAGAGGGACGGGGCAGTGCCCTGGCTCCCTGGAGAGCGCGCCGCGGTGCAGATGGGGGACCCCGGCGAGGCGGGCCTGGCCTGGGGACGTCTCCGGGCGGCTGCTCGGACAGGTAGTTGGGGGAAAGCAGCCGGCTGCGGGCGAGGGCAGGAGCGGCCCCTGGGTGACCCGGGGGCGGGAAGGTCGAGCGCCCCCGCCCCGCGGGCTGCCTCGCGCTGCCTCGCGCCCCTGCTCCCAGAAGCCCGGCTTCCGAAGGGACGGGCGGCCGGCTGGCTGGAAAGGAAGTGGGAACGCGGGGACGGCCGCGGAGGGGGCCCCGGGCGGAGGC